ATCCGTTCGAATCGAATCAAATCAATTCGAATTCGAATCCGTTCGAATCAAATTATATATTCGAATCTGTTCGAATCGAATTGAATCAATCCGAATTCGAATCCGTTCGAATTAAATTATATATTCGAATCAGTTCGAATCGAATCGAATTTCATTGATTCGTTCGGAGCCTTATTTATTTTATTATTTTTGAGCCATCGTTTTGTTGAATTCGCCGTATGCTTAGGGTCTCCATCCTGTATTTATAAGCTAAAATAAAAATATCAATCAATACAAATATAAAAAAAAGTACCTCTGGTTAGTTATTAACACGTATTCTTTAGGATACCCAAATCATACCAAAAAAAAAATCAATTCGCGTCTGTCCTACCAAAAAAAAAACCAATAGGATAAATAATTAATGTGTACAAGTCGATCATTCACAAACTTCTTTTTTAAAATGCCACGTATTTCAAAAAAAACCAGACAAAATAATAAAGGAGAAGCAAAAGTGTAAGTGTTTTAAGGATGGTGGCGGTGGTTATCGCCTGCCACCCGTCGTCACTCTAGTTATGAGATTGAAAAATCAATTGCACATGAAAATTGGAGCTTTAAAAACTTTGTTAAACACATGTTTGGAGACGGGGAGCCTGATATCCGTGTGTGTAAAAAAATCAATGATGAGTACCGTTTGGCATTAAATAGATTAGTTATACAAACTGATTTATCTAAACAAGAATCACAAAGGGCTATTGAATTATACAACCAATTTAAAGTAAATATAAAACCTTTGTATTTCTGTATAGTAAACTCGTTTTCCATTATGAAGAGCTGACTTAAGTTTTGAGTGTAGCAATATGGCAAATCCATGTGGACTGCATATTTAAATTCAGTTAGGAAACTGAAATATTATGGAGTGGGGTGAAATTCTGATTGGCTAATTTGAATTTCACATATGTAAATTGCGAATTCACATAATTTCATTTTCACGTACAACATATACATATATTGATAAACAACTCCTGTTGTATCTCAGAAAATGAAAAAAATTGCTAGCATCAACCAAGAAACTGATAAGATAGAAAAAAGTCAATTACATCAAAAGAACATATCAGAAGCTGGAGTTGTTGATTCAGTAATAAGTTTTAGGATAAATAGAATATGTGATTTTTAGCTTTGATTACAATGACATAAACATTCTGTTTGCATTTCCATATAGGTCATAAACAACGTTAAAGTTGTGATACCAAAAAACAAGGTAATAATTAAAAATCCCATCATGCCATAATGAAATTATTGTGCCCATTTATGCATTCCTTATAGTTTGCAATTTTGCACAAATGTGTAGACTATACCTTTATCTCAAGAATTTAGTTTCAATTCTGATTCTGAAAATATATCTGAAGGATTTATTGGAGGGTCAAGGACACCAACGCCAAAGCATAGAAATGAAATAAGAGAATCCATTAAGGTAAAAGTCAGTATTTATAAGGTTTTTTATATCTTGCTTTACTAAATTTTACTTACACTTCATTTAGAAATATGACTTAATAATAATAAATAATGTTGATATGCGTTCAATTTTAAAGGTGTACAAAACTGGGTAAGTAAAGTACAGCTGTAATAGTCATAAAAAGAATATTACATTTAAACTCCATTGCATTTTAATTCACAGAGGAATATTGGACACAACAAACATCAAACATCAAATGTTTTTTAATTCTTCAACTTGGAATTTCATAAAAAAAGACACAGAATTTGGTCTTGATGATGAAATAAATCCATTCATCACTAAAATCGGGAAACTTGATTTAGTGGAAGCCAGGTTAGAACTTGATAGGCTAATTATACCAGATAATGAGAACAGTGAGAGCTGGAGATATGTGAGAAAGATTTAAGAGTTATTGTAAGTTCACAAATTTGTGTGTTTGAGAAACTGAAATTTTTATAAATGAAAATTAAATATTTGTTTTACAGTATAGATGATTTTCGTTTGAATCAAATGTTGGAGGATCCATGTGCAACAGAAAGGACCTATACATGCAAGTTCTTGGTTCCTATAATTGATAGTGCACTAAGTTGTGTCCATCCAAGACTAAGATTACAATGGTGTGAATGTAAATCAGCATCAAATATCATGAAACTAAAAATGGATAATGTATTGAAAGATGGCAGAGATGGTGCTTTGTTAGATTCACTAGGAACTTTAAATAATAAATATGATTTGGTTGCTTTGGAAGTAGCTGGAAAGCCATTAAGCATGGTAATGATTTAATCTATAGTTGTATATAAATTGTAAGAAGTTCTATTGCTCTGACTCAATTATTCATTGCAGGACTTACCAAAGATCACAAATGATAAGAGTAAAATTAACGAAATTTGCAAGGAAATGGTAAATTTTATTACATGTAAACACCCATTTGTTGAGAGGTGTGACCTTGAACAAGTTGGTGTTGTGTGTTTACAAGCATTTGGTGAGTAGTAATCATTTAATTCATATAATTAGTACTAGTATTTTAAAAATATTCATGATAAATAACATTTATGAAATCAGGTTTTCACATTGAAGCTGCTATGATGACATTGGAAGGACCTGAGTGTTGGGTTGTGAGAAATATTTGTTCTGCACAACTTCCCACAAATTTTACAGAGATTAACCTTGTAAAAAAAATTATTAGGTGGGGGCTTGCACTCCGTGAAACATTAGAAAAGATTATTTTTAATATAAATATCATAGAAGATAGAGAAGATTCAGTCATTCCATGGTCAAGATTTATATTGGAAACAGATGATTTTAATGAATAAGTGGTCTTGAGTTTTCTTTTAGAAAAATGACTCTCTTAAGATTTAAATTAAACATTATCTTGTTATTTGCTTTCATTAATAAAATTTAAACTACATATTTGCAATTCATTCTTTAGAGAAAATTTTTGAGTGGAAGAACATATGTTCATTAATTCATTCTTTTCTTATGGGTGGGTGACGTTATTATGCTGCATGCATAAATAAAATACTAAACAATACTGTTAAAAACTTATACACTAAATAAATGTTGGCTACAACCAACAATCCTGGGATAAAACATAACTAAAATAAAACTATTTATTTGTATATATCCTGGAGGCAATCCAACTGTTCTGACTAATCTACAAATTAGTTGCTCTGCTACTACTGAGATTTGTAAATATTGTAGAAGCGTCCTACCCAATTCAACTAGATGAGCTTCCAGTGTTTGAGTATCATTTATTTTGAAAATATAAGGAGCGATTTTCTCACCCTGCTCCTTCTTCAAAATACTTCTAATAGTGCTGTAATTCTTGGATTCCATTGATATAAATTAGCTTCATATTAACTATTTTTGTCTAGACAAATATTGTGATCATATTATATTGGTAATACAATTGTGATGTTGAAAACAATAATATTGATTATGGCACGCCATGCTGGACAAAAGGTATCAGCAATGTTGCAATCTTTTACAACAATTGTTGCAATTTTTCA